CTAGTGTTATCCAGAAATGTAGAGACTACATCGTATTCTTCCTATAATCACCCCTGCAGTTTGCAGCCAAGACTTAAAAGAAATGCCTGACAGGACGTTAAGTGGATGGCAAGGAGGAAAGCAAAGATCTTTTTTTTTCAGGGGATAAGAAGAGACAAAAAGATTTCTAAGACCATGAAAAGTGAAGCAGGAAGAAGAAAAGAACGAAGATAAAATATGTGTGAAAAGGAAAGGGAAAACACGATTTATGACAGCAAGTGGTGCCACCCAGTCCTACCCTTCTGTTTCTCCTTTACTATTTCCTTGGTGAGGATCACCTAAGCCCTGAAAATTTAGGACTGAAGAGGCTGAAAGTAAAAGGTGAACGGCGAGCATCCTAGCTGAATTGCTTATTCTCCCTGATCAGAAAGTTAAAAAAAAAAAAAAGAAGAAGAAAGAAAGAAAAAGAAATATAAAAAGAATGATTTGCAAAAACAATTGTGATTAAATTCAATAGATTTTTTTAAAGAACTTGAAAGCAAGGAATTAAAGGGGAATGAAACCACAAAGAGATAATCTTTGTGTAGGGATGTATAAAGTAGAGAAAAAGATTTTCCTATCAGCCCTTCTGATTTGCTCCCAGCCAGGTAATCCTGGGCACTGGCAGGCTGTGGGGCAAATGGACAGATGCTTCCGGAAAAGATTATCTTTTATCTGTCACTCAGGGAATCGCTCTGTCTCTATGACGGCTGACTCTAGGGTCTAAGCCTTATATGCCTTTGCTATATGTGTCAAACAGAAAAAAAACCCTATGATAATAATATTAATAATAATGATAATAAAACAATAACAGCAACAGTAAGAACAGCTAACATTTACTGAGTACTGAGCAGGTACGAAGCACTTGCCATGCTTAATCTCTTTTAATCTTCACCAGAACTTTAGAGTTGCTATTACTATCCCCATTTTACAGATGAGGAAATTGAAAAACTGAAAAGGATTGGTTTGCATGTAAATGGATTTTTCTATACATTAGCCTCAGCCGTAGCGACCTGCTGCTCTCTTGCTCAAGTGGAAATTCACACACTTCACCCTGTCCTCCCACGGTCTACCTCGAAGTCTTTACAAGGTCAGACCCGAATCCAGGCAGTGGCTTGCACTGGCTCTGAGCCTCCAGCATGCTGAGTAAGAGCATCTACGTCTCCCTGAAAGTAAGGTTTGCATCAGCTTCTGATCAGAACTACAGTCAGTAAACACCCTTTGCCCTAAATGAAAAAAACCAAGGCCTTCCTCATGGTGAGGAGGAATTCTGAGGGCCCTGAGGACAGCAAGGGAGAGCCTCTGAAACACAGCACTAGGATGAAACCTTTGCACACTGACCTCGCCATGTCCATTTTCAGCCTTAGAGACTCCTAATTTCTCCCTCATCCAAGACCTCAGTAGAACTGCCTGTGATAAATGCCCTTGCTGTGCGATATGGAAGCCAGTCTACTAACCTACAACAGACTGTTCCTTTCCTTCTCAAGGTAACCCTGTGCTGTCTAGCTGTGATGTTCCCTGGTAGTCAAAAGCACCAGAAGAAATCCACCTTTGACATTCAGACTTTACACTGCCTAGCTTCAATGCAAACCTCTCTTCCCTCCATCGGCTTGCCAGACTCTGCCAAGAAGACAGCCTAAAAGATGGATTGTCTCTTGGAAATTCTACAGGTCCAGGCTAGGTTGGGTCATGAAACTTCTTGTCTGCTTCTGTCCTTCGGCTCCATGCCTGCCTTGCCGTTTGGTTACTCATTTTTCTTTTCTTTTTTTTTTTAAGATTTTATTTATTTATTTGACAGAGGGAGAGACACAGCGAGAGCAGGAACACAAGCAGGGGGAGTGGGAGAGGGAGAAGCAGGCTTCCCGCAGAGCAGGGAGCCTGACACGGGGCTCGATCCCAGGACCCCGGGATCATGACCTGAGCCAAAGGCAGATGCTTAACGACTGAGTCACCCAGGTGCCGCACTCGTTTTTCTATTCAACATTTATCTAGCCGTTTGCAGTATTAAATAAGTTTCAGATATTTGTTTTCCAACACAGGGGGGCCAAAAATCATGACAAGAATGCAACAGAGTGCTACTAGGAAAAAAAAAATAAGAAGCACCTGAAAATCAAGCTCTGGTGATGCAAAGGGACCAGTCTTTTTGGAAAAGGTGATGCAAAAGGACTAGTCTGTTTGGAAAAGGATAAGTCTCAAATCTTCGTATGGTGAAATGTAGGCCTCAGAGACTAACTAGACAAACAAATTTTAATTTGGGGTTCATGGAGCTTAGGGAGGTCACGAACCCTCCCTAAAATATGTGTAAAATATCTGTGTTATTTTTGTTTTCCTTTTCTACTCTTGTTTTGTTTTTCTGGGAAGGAGTTCCTAGCTTCATTGGGTTATCAGAGGGAGAATAACTTATTTATAAATATCTCCGATGCCTAGAAAAAAGCCTGATACATAGTAGGAACTCAGTAGATATTTGTTGAATAAATGAATGGATGAGGGGTCTGAGCTCTAAAGCACCTAATTTTATAGATGGAGAAATTAAGGCCTAGAAAGGACATAATTGTTTTTCTGTAAGGTCATGAACCTAAGTAGTCAGGACCAGACCGAATGAGCTCTTTCAGCTCTTTCTACTGCTAGACAGTCCTGTTGTTTTGCTTTTTAACCTAGTTGTATCTTTCACTGCATTTCATTTTTCTTCCTCCCAAACCATTGTTTTTTAAGCAAAGAAATGCATCTCATTTCCTACTTAAAAACTGTCCCAAAAGGGGAGATGGGGTGGGGGGCAAACAGTGGGGAGAGTCTATGCAAAAGGCCACCAGAATGATGTATCTATGATGGCACTCACAGCATGGCTATTACTCCTATGTGCTGGGGACATGGTCACGACTACGGCATCAAAATCGCCGTCATTGATGGAAATATGCAAAGCTGAAATAGTGGAGTTAGATCTGGGGGCTGGCAGGAAATCTTAAGCTTAAAACTGGCCAGGCCAAGCAGCTGTCTGACAAGAAGATGATCTGCAGCATTTTAAAAGATGTCTGAGGAACAGGGATCAAAGGATCCCCTGCTTGGTTTGAAAGTTCCTTTTGAGGGTCTTCCTTACTTAAGTGATTAGGAGATCCTGGGAGAATTCAAATCAGACCTTACTACCCTCCTAACAGCTCAAAATCAAGCCCAGCAGGCAAGAAGGACGAGATTCAAATGCCACTCAGAGAAGAGAAATAAGGGAGAAGGGCCTAGGTCTCATGGAGCTGTTTCCTGCTGGGACAGCTTCTGAAAGAGACCAATAACTTGAATTCTATGACACAGCAAATTTCTTGTGCTGATGACTTTCTCAGCAGACGGAGGCCAACATGGAGGCTCTGAAGTCCAGGCCATGTCAGAAGAGAAAGAGAGAGAGGAGAGCCGTGCCTAACCTAGGGATGCCTCCAGAATGCTAATGGCCAGCAGAAGAAACTTTCAGTAAACTCTTCTTTGAACCCTGGCATCCTAAATGCAAGTCATTTTGGAAGAGAATCCGTTACAATGCCCTAGATTGTGTTTATTGATTATCTTATTATTTGGCAATGGTAGGAGATATTTAGTAAAAAGAAAGAACCCAAAGTAGATAATAAACAATCTGAGTTTGAGCCCCAGCTGTGTGACCTTGGTAAAATCACTTAGCCTCTCTGAACCTCTGTTTCTTGACTTATAAATGAAGGAACTGGTCTGCATATCCTCTATAGCTCTTTCTAACTTTTGCACTCTATATATTATATATATATATATATATATATCTCAGTTTGAGGTTTAATCCATTGACAGATTTTTTTCAAACATGATTAGAAAAGGTTACTCTTCAGGCAAGAAAATCCCACCCCTGTATTATTTTCTTAGATTTCTCTGCAATGCAACTGAAATATCAGTTAAAGGGGGGAAGAGGGAGATTTTAACCTCTTGGAGTGAACAACAACCCTATTGCACAAAGACACCTGCTGTAAACTTCAGATCCTTATATTAAAAAGGGGAATTTAAAGGAAGTTAGGGTCAGCAAATGATTTGAAGACCTTGCCCTCACTTTACAGGGTAGGATTACAGAGGATTCCAGTCAATTTATTTGAGTTCCACTTTCAAAATGTAAACATTTCAAAAAACTCATGTAGCAGTCATTTAATTCATACAGCAAATAGGTCTGTCGCACAATGATCTGAAGGTCTTCTGTGAAATGTGCTTCTGTTTTGCCATGAGCCTCAAGTTTCCCTCTAAGATTTCTGGCAGTTTCCTACATTTTGCTCACATAACATCCAAGGATTAGCCAGGTAGCTCGCTTTCTCCCCTCCTTCCGAATCTAACGGCCCTGGGCTTTCAAAATTCTCTGCCAAGCTCTGAACTGAATTCCCCAATAAGAATTCACAGTATGACTCTGAAGCTCAGAAAAGCAGCTAAACAAAAGCTCTGTAGCAGAGGATTTTGCTGGTTAATAGGAAAAGTAAATGTATCTAGAGTTTAATGCCTTACATTAAAAAAAAAAATCAATGACCTAAAACTTTTCCTACCTGTCCTACGCTGAACTTTAGTCAAGGAGAAATAACGCAACATTTCAATTTCCTCAGAGAAACGGAGCTCAGCAAATAACCTTTCCACTCTGCACCTCCCTGGGCCCCCCCCCCAAGAGGCCTGAAATAGCCCAGGACGAGGGGGGTGGAGAGGGAATCCTGTGCCCCACTGAGGAAGGCCTGCACCCCTCAGTTCTGGGGGCCTCCACACACCCAGGCCCAAGCCCTGCCAGGGGACAAAACGGGAAGGGGGCCTGCCTCGGCGAACACTGTGTCTTTCCTAATGACCTCTATGATGGGTGCCTTTCCTTGCCAAAGATTAAGCAACTGAGGACAGTCCCCAAGCACCAGATCCCTGATTTCCCTGTGCCGCATCACCAAGTGCAGAGTGTGTGTAGAGTCTCCTTGGTTGTGCCTAGGCCAAGGGGCCATGGGCTGAGGTATCTTTGCACTCACCGGGGACTCCGGAGCTCATGTGTTCAGATTCTTCAGTTCCTGTGGCCTCTGAGACCCCCTCCTTCCGTGGCCACCCCTCACGTAGGCCTCCGGCTGTCAGGACAGGTCTGACTACCTGAAAAGGCAAAAAATGGGTAGGGTTACTCTGCTGGCTCAGGAGGAGAATGGGAGAGACTGGGGGCAGGGACATTTCATAGGAAATCAAGGAGTGGGTTGGCTGAAAGAAGGGAAAAGGGCAGAGGGGCACATCAGGGGCCAAGAGCTACAAAGCAGGGATGCTGATGCCACAGGAGAGCTTTTCAGAGATGCCTACAAAGTTCCCTCACCTTATCCCCAGTCTGGGAAGTCTCTGGGACAAAGAAGAGGGTCTGGTCTGAGATTGCAGCAAGTGTGCTCAGTACTTTTGACTCAATCTCAATCCTTTCCTTTGCTTCCGACCTAAGGCAGATAAGGCAGAAAGACTCAAAGCAACCCCAGTCTTGAAAAGAGGACAGATGGGGCAAAGGGGCCAAAGGGAGAAAACCAGGTTCTAGCCACGGGTGGGGAGGAGAGGCAGAGGGGGAGAAGTGCAGGTGCAGAGCAACCAAAAGGGGGCCTGACGGTGGCTGCCGGCAGAACCCCTTAGCCTGACCCAGCCACTAGGGGGCAGATGGCCAGGGTGAAGGGGGTGAATCTCTGAGGTGTCTTCACTCCTTCCTTAACTCCAGAGACAGCCTTTCGTCTTGATTCTCTAACACAGTCAAAGACTAAGCTAGTTGACTGCGAACGAGGAGCCAAGTTTCCCCAGGGGTTTCTCGGACACTTCCCACTCCCCAGGGAGAAGCAGACTGGGTGAGGAAGGGTCTCCAGCTGTCACCCCCTACCCCCTTCTCTATAGGACTCCAGAGGTTGACATCAGATGCAAGTGCCTGGAAGTTTCCATCAGGCCCCTGGCTTCCGAGGTGACGTGGCTTTTTCCAAGAGGGGTGTGCATTAGCAGTTTGAAGGTTCTAAGAGATTACCCCCCCTTGCCCTCCTTCCTCCGCAAAGGCAAAGTGGGGAGAAAGGGGGAGATCAGCTCCCACTGGCCTCGGGCTGACGCAACTGTTTTGAAGAGGAAGGAAAGAGGCACAAAAAGCCACAGATTTTCACTGATTGTGAAGGCAACGGGGAGGGGGTCCTTCCCTCTGCTCCCACCCGGATGGAGACACCCCTCTCCGCAAGCCCCCCACGCCCGGCCCGGATCACAGTGAGCAGCCCTGGCCCGGCGTGCAGGCGCTGGGCAGCTGGGCTGCAGCAGGCAGCAGCTGCCTAAAGGCAGCAACAGTTGTCTGGCTGAAGCGAGGCGAGCCAAGGACTCGCTCTGGCGCGCACGACGCTGGCTTCGGCCGGTGCTCCCGGGCTCTGGAGCCCCTGCCCCAAACCTGGCCTCTGTGGGAGAAGTGAGGGGACTGGGGACGAGGTAACCCCGAACAGCCTGAGCTCGGGTGGCTCAACCTCTTCTGTGCAAGTTCACTTCTCTTAGGTCACCTCTCTCCCAAATCCGGTGGAGGTTCAGGCTTTTGGGGTGAGGAGGGCTTTCAGGCTGGGGGGAGGTGGGGGATGTCAGAAGCAAAAGCCCAAAGAGGAGCCGAAGGGACACAGGGTGAAGCTATTTTTAGCCTAACATGGCTCTTACGCTTCTCCCTCGGCGGGAGCTATCGCTCCACAGACGGCCCCAGGTGAGAGGCAGGGAGGAACCCCCCCCCCCAGGGTTTTTGCTTTTGCTCCATCTCCTTTGCAGATCTTAGGGACCCTTTTACTCTCTCAGAAAACGCAATCAGGGAGGGAAAAGCTCCTTTATCTGGGGAGAGGGACTCTGACTTAGCCTTAGAGGTTGGAGTCCTCGCCCTCGGTGCTTTCTCTGTGCCTTCTCGCGCTATAAAAAATTGACTCTGTCCAGCACTCTCGGACTCCGTAGCACTTTCCTTTTTCGGCAGACGATAGAGTCTGGGTGCTTGGCTAACTGAGAGGGGAATGACGGTGGGCATTTAGTTTGCTGGAAGAACGGTGGTTGGGGTGCGGGGGGGAATTCAAGGCCCTCCCCGAAAATGGGAAGCTTCGCGGCCCTCGGGTCTTAGGCTCTCACATCCCTAGACTCATCCCCTATCCGTGTTCATCCCTGTGGGCGCCTGTGTGTGTCTGTGTGTCCTTCTGGTCCAGTCCCTAAGGGCGTCTAGCACAGTTTCTAGCTGGCGAAGGACGCGGGGCGCAAAGCATAGTGAAGGCCTGATTTGTGCCACTTGTAACCGAAGTGGTAACGACAGCAAGGGGAGGAGGGGGACCCACAGACGATCCTCAACCCTGCAGCCTTGCCTCCCTCCCCAGGACGGGGCGCCTGGAGGGGCCAAGACAGGGCTGCTGCTGCAGCTAAGCTGCTCAGTCGGGTACAACCACATCTCTCAAAAGCTCCTTCTCTGCGGGGGTTCCCCCAGCTTTTGCCTGTTTTACCCCCTTCCGTGCTACTTAGTTTTGAAAAAAGATGAGATGGGAGAGACCTGAGGCTGCAAAACACCCCAAATTAGGTTGGAAGCAGGTGCGGGGGGAAGAAGAGACTCCGGGGAGCGGGCGGTGCCAAGGTGTTTTCCCTCTTTTTCGGAGCTACCCAGTTCACACGGGCTCGCCTCACCTCTGGGTCCCCCACGCTAGGACAGAGGATGCTGAGGGCCTCCCGCCCCTCCCTCAAGGGCTTCCCCACCCCTATATTGCAGAGTTGGATCCTTAGGGTCAAAAATGACCAGAACATGTCCTAAACTGATTCATATTCCAGGTACTGACTTGGCCTTAAGAACGGATACCCCCCCTTTTTTTGCAGTGGGTGAATGGGGTTATTCGGGGTGTGGGGGTAAGACATAACTTCTGTAAACTTTTATTGTATTTTAGCTTCTTTCCACTTCTCCGAAAACACACGCACACCGCTCGCTCCAATTCCCCCTGTGATACAAAGTCGATTTAAAAGTTGGGGGCGGGGGACCCGCGCGGAGGACAGGCGGGTGACCAATGCCTCAGGGAGCGCGGGAAGGACGGGAGGGAAAGGTTTGTTTCTTCCGTGGAAAACGGGGCAAGGGCTGGGAAAAGCTCGGACCGAGCCGCTTCGGGAAGGTGCGGCCTTCGACTATCGCTGCTGGTTGCGGTCTTCTCGACGAGCGCGCTCTCCGCGAATGCTTTTTGGGGTAAGGGCTTCCGGCTATTGAGTTATGTACAGCAAGCCCAGACCGCAAAAAGATTCGCGAAGGGCAGAATCTGCTGGCTTCTTCAGTCCGCCGCCGCCGCCGCCGCCGCCTTCAGCCCAGGATGTCTCCGAACCCCGGGGCCGAGCCCGCTGGGTCTCCCCAGCGCGCTCCATCGCAGCTCAGCCTTCCCACCCCGCGCGCCGCCCGCCCCTCTGCCGCCCCTCCCTGCGCCCCCCGACCCATCCTTGCGTTTCTCCACACCGTCCGCGACCCCCCAACTCAGCCCGCACAGACGCGAGCGAGGTGTGTGGAGGGCGAGAAGAGGAGCGCGGAGGGGAACCAGGGATCCCGGCGCCCAGCCTCCACCCCTCTTCCGTAGACCCAGCACCCCGAGCCTCCCCGCCTATCTAGCCTATCACCCACGTTCCCCTCTCAGGGTTCCGCCAGCCCCGGCTGCAAGGTCGCGGATCTCTGAACAGGTATAGTTCGGATTTCCCCTGAACCCGCTCTTGTCCCTTCTAGTCCCCCAACCGAGGTTCCAACCGTGACTACAGGCGCTGCGTAAAGAGAAAAACTCCCCCAGAGCACTAAATAAATACAGACGAGGCCGCCAGCTCATTGGTGCGGACTAAAATCGTCACCCACCAATCAGGAAAGAGCTCACATTTCCCTTTTTTTTTTTTTTTTTCAGAAGGGGGAGGGAGGAAAAAAATATTTCCATTTCTAATTATTCAACAAAACCCAGACTGGAACACGTTAAAATCTTGTTGCTGCAAAAAAGCTGGCCAAGACCCCTACCCCCATTCCAATCCAAGTGAGGGGAGAGGTGCAGGATATTGAGCAAGGGAGGGTTCAAGAGAGACAGACCTCTCCCAACGGGACCCAAGCCAGAAGATTCAGACGGAAAACGACAGGCAAAGATGAACATAAAATAAACCCAAACTCCACGCTAGTCAACCTATTTCTAGAAAAATGAGAATGTCTCAATCTCCCCCCTCAAAAAAAAAAAAAAGTTCTGAATCCTCAAGAGAAATGGTGAAGCTCCTCCCTCTGCACCCTTCCCCAAACCCGTTTAGATATTGGGTGTCTAATGGCCCACTCGCCTCAGGTGCCCTTTTGTTGCTGCAGCCCCCCTTCTCCCCATTCTGCAGAAGGTTGAGGGGAACAACAAGGGATGAGCCCCTCACTGATCGCCGGCTCCCGCAACGACGGGAGATTCCAGCATCTGCAGGAGGAAAGAGAGGGGAGGGGAAGGGAGGCTAGGGTGGAAGGAGGAGGGTGATCTCTTTCTTTCGTTCTCCCTCCTTCCCTCTCCCCTGTCTCCCTCTAGGCCCCCTCTGCCATCCCATCCATCCAAACTTTGAGGGGTTGCCCTCTTTCCTCCCAGTGCAGCGCCACCCTTCCCATAAATGCTCTGCCCGCCCCCCCCCGCCCAGTATCCAAGAAGGGTGTGGGCAAAGGAATGTTCAGATCACCTCCCTCCCCAACAGTAGTCCCCCAGCGGGGAAAAACTCAGCCAGGGTGGGATGCTGCAAACATTGCAAGAAAGTTGCCATATTTGTTCTCTGCCACCCTGGAATCGACGTGCGGGCGGGCGCGGGCGCACACACACTCTTGCTCAGCAAGCCGGGAATAAACGTATCTAGACGAAGTAGTCACCGTCTCCAAGTCCCTGTCGACCCACCCCCTCCGCCCATCCATCACCCTCGGCAGCTCTGCGACCCACCCACCTTCCCACGGCATCCCCTCGGCTAGGCGACCGACCGACACACGCACACACACCCCGAGCGTCGGCGCGCCCGCCGCGCCAGAGGGGGCTCCACAGTCTGCGCCCGCCGCCGCTGCGGCGCGGGGCAACTGGGAAAAAAAAGTTCTGCTCAGCGGATCAGTGAACCTACAGACCACCGGCCGACCAGTGTACCAA